ATTATTGTTATGTATCCATATATACAACACATAATGGAAAAAAGAAAAGAAACGGGTGCTTGGTAGTAGACATAAATTAGGCACAAAATTTTTGAATTGTTTAATTATATCAACAGGTGAACATGAGCAAATCTCCTTTATTGCACATACTAATTTCATGAGGTGGATACGAATTCACATACCTTGATCATCTTGGTTATTAGAGGATACTAAAACATGTTCCATGTGAACAGGTCTGTTCAATGAAGAATTTGATGCCACTCTTCCATTAACAGAAAGTGTAATACCTGTCGTACATGAATGTATGATTAAGTAAAAAACACTGGAAAGTAAATAAAAGATTGGAGAAAGCTGTTAATATTGACAAATCTCCTTTTATACACATTGATTTATGAAGCAAATATGATTTCACATTCACATACCTTGGACATTTACATGTGTTAGAGTTGTAGTTTAGGATACAGTGTTAGCTGAAGAATGGACATTGTCAATTGGGCATGCAGCATGAGTAGCTCTTGACTCTAGTTGCTAAAGAGGATGCAACTCCTATTCTTGTTCTGAAATTAAACACAATAGAGAAATTAACAGTTATCATATAGAAAGAAACTTGAATTAATAAAAATCACTTTCATTATATATCCATCTTTGTTGCCACTGTTTTCTGCTCTAATCTTTAGTGGTTTTACTCTTGATCAATGAGTAAAATAGGAATAAGAAACATCCATATGTTCACACAACAAAAATTTGTGTTTTTACTCCAATAACAAATGAAAAAATGAAAAAGAAAGTATTACCACATGAAAATTGTTCATCATTAACTATCATTTTTCCTCTTGGAGGCTTATTGACTTCATTAACAAGTCTTTGCTTTGCTGCATCCAGCTCCTCAACCAGTCCTCCTAAAACTTGAAACACTTCTGGAACCAACATTAGTATTCCATGCCTTACATTTACATTAGAAATAGCAACCTAACGTAGAAAAACTTATTTGGATTTACTTTTTTATGAACAAGAATGTGTAGCAGTTGTAAACTATTCCAGTGAGTGTGAGAACTATAATATAGAACCTTTAATCCATGTCAAAGATTCGTTGAACCCCATCAGTCATAGACAACTTGTATCGCTCTCGAAGAGGTTGAATAATATTTATTATCTCGTCAACCTAGAAAAACACATTTTTATCACTTTGAAGCATATGGAAGCCAATACCTAATGATATTTTAACGTATACAACCCGTGGCCATAAAGATTCTCACATCATAGAATACTCTTACCTAGAATTTGATCAGGAGTTATTGGATATATTACGTTAATGAAAGTTGAAATTAATGGACCAGAATGTAGATGACAATTGTCTAACGGTCTGCTTAGTGTGCTTATCGGTTCTTTTGTTGCTTAGTGTGCTTATCGGTTCTGTGTTTTGATATGTTATGTGATTATGTGTTTTGCATGAAAGACCCCGGGGCAGCCCATGACATTGGATGTAAGACAAGGTGGGGTAGCCCACATGGTCTTACATCCAATTTCATGGGCTACTCCACATGGTCTTACATCCAATTTCATGGGCTACCCCACATGGTCTTTACCTAGGATTGTCATGGGCTACCCCACATGGTCTTACATCCAATGTCACGGGCTCCCCGGGGGTCTTTCATGCAAAACACATAATCACATAGCATATCAAAACACAGAATAACTAACACATATATCATAATCATATAATGGGTCGGCCTTAGTGCCTTAGACCCATAGGTATGGCGAGAAGACTCACCTCACACTACTAAAGTCTCGCGGATGAACTTCCAAATGCGGGTTGACAGATTCCCAAACTGCCAACATCAAACAATACCCAAATTAATAATTAGGTCCCAAGCCCAAGGTCCAAATCACACTCCAAAGGCCTAAAAGCCAAGTAATGGGCCAAAGCCCAACATATGGCCCAATTTTTCAAAATGGGCCTAAACCTCTGTATGGACTTATTTAAGGCCCAACAAATCATTCTAGTCCAAACATTGGGCATTACCATAGCTCAACCTCTCATAATGCTCAAGGCCCAATTGTGGCCCACTTATAGCCCAATTTTCCCAATTGGGCCCAAGCCTCTCTAACGGGTCTTATCTTAAGGCTCAATGATTTCCTAAGTCCATAACATGTTCCCAGTTGACCCATTAAGGCCCAAAACAACTTAGTTCAATAAGTGGCCCAATAAGAACCCAATTATAATTAAGGTTTTTCACATAAATGTCAATTAGGGTTAAGCGTCACTACTTAACACATTAAGGACTTAATCCAATAGGTCCAATATCTCCTTTTAAGTTAATTTGCCAATGTTTGTTAGTTAATATTTCAAGTTCAATAAATAATCCTCATGAGGTCCCGATAAATCCCAAATTAGGGTTTCATGACATTAGGGTTTTCCAAAGCTTAGTTAGGGTTTCCAACCCATCTTAGCCCAATAGGCCCAATAGGTAGGCCTTTTGATCAATTAGGGTTCATTAGGCCCATTAGGGCTTCAAGCATCCCAACCAAATCAAACACGGCAAGGAAAAATACACTGCCACCCGATATAGCGGCCGATGGCGGTAAGAGGCGGCAGCCACCACCTCATGGTGGTGGTTTATACTTTTCTTTTTCGTTATTTTGATACGGATTGCAATACAATTTACAAGAATGTCTAAATAACACACACACTTATAAAATAATACATACACAGCCACACTTGTGGTGGCCAGTGGTGGTTCATGGTGGCGGCCATGTTAGTCTCTTATCACTTCCAGCTAACAAATCACACACACGACACACATGCACATCGGAAGTAGAAACACACTCTTACACCAGTGTTTGGAAAACTGGACACAACCACCCATATAGTAGTGCGTGGTGACGGAAGCAGCAACCACAACGGTAGTTTAAGGCGGTACACGGCCATGACAACGGTCTTCGATGTTTTCGGTTGCATCACCAATCGAACAACAATAGGGTGACGATGGTGGCATCTCGCCGATTCTCCGGCCTCAACCGACGAGGAAACAATGACTAGTGATGGAGGAGTCGTGAGGTGTGCAGCCGCAAACAGGAGAGATAAGGTGGGGTGGCGGCTGATTTCTTCCCTTAGGGTTAGGGTTTAGAACCCTTAAATACCCGCAAACCGGTCCCTTCCTTCCCTCTTTCTTCCAAACGCAATCCACAATTTATCCTTTTAACCCTGCCTTGTGAAATGTCTTTCAATTCAAGTCCAAACTGTTGCCAATCAGCCCCTGCCTACTAAAATCCTTATATAATATGTCCCAATAATATGAAACACCCACTGACTACTAAAATCCTATGTGAAACAAGTCCCGAAATTACACTTTATCCCCCGAATAATTCAATTTATAACATTTGGCTTTCCAAAACCAACACCCACTAAATAATATTGGTTTAGAGCAACAAATGATTCATCAATTTCTATCTATTTATTTGTTTAATAAACATGATGTTACAAGAGACGTCGCCACGGTAGTCGTGCCACACCAGAACACGGCCTTTCATGTCAAGGAGCAATAGTGCAAAGGCCGCCCTTGCCGTCAATTATCTGGAGCCAAGTAGATGAGATCTGTGCTTATTGATTCCGAATTAAGACCTGGTTTCTAGTCGATCGAGAAAGAGTCAGAGGTGAAAATGAAACCGATAGTTGGAATCGTCGGCGTTGAATCTAATCGTCGGTGTTCTTCGACAACTAGCATGAGGATCGAGAGAGAGGAAGAAGATTTTCCGGGAGTGAGAGGTGAGGAAGTCCCCAGGGGAAAAAATTCCGATCGATTGATCGAGAGAGAGAGAGAGAGAGAGAGAGAGAGAGAGACTGACGATTAAGCGTGCGTGAATGAAACGATGGGGGCTACTCTCCTAAATATGGGCATAGAAAGTTATAGGGACGACAAGTCGTCCCTATAATTATCCCCAAAACGATTTATTTCCACGAATAATTAAAAAAATATGTTATTTTTAATTTTCGTTATTTGTTAGAGCAATAAGTCGTCGTTACAGGTGTTTCAAGAATACGCCAAACCCATTTCCTTTCCCGCTTAAAATGTTGAGACGAGAAGTTGTCGCTATAGCTTCAAAAATCAAAAAAAAAATTGTCAACACTATGGCGACGACATGTCTTTCCTATAGGTAGCCAATAGGGAAGGCAAATATCGTCCCTATATAAATGTTTATTCTTGTAGTGATCCTACTTAATAAATAAAAAGTCAAAATAAACTATATAAAACAATGGTTGATTACTTTCTCATTTAAAAAGTGTTCAAGTCTTTGTGTCTTGTGATTTGAATTTTGTTTATCTCGATAAAATAAATAAAATAAAATAAAATATTTTAAATTTATGGATCATATTTACAGCAATGAAACAATAATTGATATAGTCAAATTTTATTCTAAAATCGTGAGTAGTAGATATTAATTGAATAGAAATAATTATGTACAATTCATTATTTATTTCTTAAGGGCATTTCACACCTACTTTACTATGTTCTCGAATTTCCTATTTTATATGTGGGAATGATAGGCTTTGATAGCATTTTATAAAAATATTTTAATATTTCATTTAACTATATGATAAGGCAAATAAAATCTATTAACTAAAAAAAGAAATACGCACTCCATATAAATATTACGGAGGTAAGTGAGATAGAGCGCGCCTTGATTACTATGTGTACCGAATCCACATAATTATACGGGTAGTAGATACGAAAGAAAATAAGCAAACCTTCCTTTCTTTCACCATATAAACCGTTAAAAGGACAGTAATTGCCAAATTAAAAAAAATATTACTTTCCTTATAAAACTAACCATAACATATAACTAAAGTTCCTATTTATATTAGGTTACTTGTGTAATCCAACAACTAACACTACTTCCCCATATCTATAAATAAGCACGCAAACGCAAAGGCTAATCATTCATAAGCAACTTTTTCTGTCATTCAAAATTTAGATATTTTGACTGAAAAGCAAAGAAAGATGATGGCAGAAGATACAACAGGAACTAGGCGCTACTGCAAGCGTGTTTATTTGCATGCTGCTATGGGACAACAGGAGTCTGAAGATATATACTATCTACATAAGATCCTTAAATTGGTTGTGGAAAAGATGAATTTAATTGATGTCTTACCCAAGAAAGCAGTTGAAGAAAGAAAAAGGTTCAAAAGTAGTCCAACAGTAGAGAAGAACAAGAAGGTGGAGATTGTGAAGAACCAGATAACCCAGGAGTTGGAAGAGTTCATTACGAATAAGCTGAAGGGGAAAGAAGCGAAGGTGGTGATCCAGAAAACGTTGTACAAAAGTGATCTGGAGAAAAACCAGAACAGGTTGAGTATGCCGATGAAACAAGTGATCAAACCGGATGAGTTCTTGAGGAAAAATGAGAAAGAAGATTTGGAGAAGGGAAAGGAGTTTGAAGTGAAATTGTTGGGGCCAAGATTGGAGATGCATAAGAAGCCGATGATGTTGAAGATGTGGCACATGAACAGCACCAGCAACTACGTCCTTAAAACCGAGTGGAACCGCTTTGTGAAGGCGAATAAAAAGGATTTGGAGATAAACAAAAAGATTCAGGTTTGGTCGTTTCGCATAGATGAGAAGCTGTGCTTTGCAATTGCATGTTTCGACAGAGATGTTGACGGACAAAACGACGCCGCTGCAACACCCATCATTTAGTCCTCTAATTAATTCTTTTCGAATTCGATTCTATATTCTTATTTGGGTTATATTCAAACATTGTAGCCTTCTATATATCTGAACGTACGTGTTATTAAAGCTTTGACAATTTTTGTTGGTTTCAAGATATTTAATGATAAAAAAATTTCCTAACGCAGTTTGATCACACGGATTTTTGTTTATTAGAATAATGATAATTATTTCAAATTGGATAATAATTTGATGATGACACTAAGCATATATACACCAGCGTTCCACTGTTGGTTGCTTGCACAAGAGGAAAAAAAAGTGAAGACTGGTCAATGGTCAAGATTCTCTTCAAGAAAATAGAATTTTCTGGGATTTTTCCTTTGATCAATCAGCCTTGATGACCAAGACATCATATGTATGTATATAAACAAACACACAGCTGCTTGTTTGAATCACATACATACTTATTAAGTTAACCAAGAAATCAAAGAAAAACATTATCCTCTTCTTGTGAGAATTGAGATGGGTAGCAATGAGAAGAAGAATCTAAATTGGTTCTCGTGGATGTTCAACTGCTTTTCTTGCAAATCAGATGAAGGAAAAACTACAAAGGACATGGGAGCTGTAGTTAAGCCTAATTGTGGCCCAGAGGCAACCATGATCGCAGCCGCAAGACACTTCTCCACCTCCCATAAAGCTTTAGTCAATTAGCTTCTTATAAAAGTCAGCCCCCTTGAATGGAAGGTCTTGTAACACCCATTGACACAATTGTAGGATGACAAAAACAATGGCTCTTGAAGTATAAGCTAGAATGGAAGTTACAAAGGTTAAGATTGGTTAGCAGTTATGTTAGTTATTCTCCTGAAAGTTAGTTATGCACTTAAAGTATGTTAAAGGGTTGCACCGGTATATATATACCCCTTCAATTCGCGTATGTATGTATATAAGTCAAACTTGTGTCTATGTATAAAATATAAACTAATGTCTTTATGTGAAAAATGAAAATAATTCTAAAAGCATATTCAATGCTAAACCTATTTTATAGATATAGATAGATACCTTTTATTATTTTATTAATATTGATCTTTAATTAGATTGTTTTTCTAATAGTTAAATTCTTTTATGATTTTTTTTATTAATTAAAATAATTTATCCTCGTCATTCTAAAATATTATATAAAACTTTCTCGTTTAACTAACCGTTTTTTAAATATACCATATTTCAATATAAGATATCTGTCATCTTATTATTTTATTAATATTGACTCTTAACTAACTTGTTTGTATAGTGGTTAAACTCTTTTATGACATTTTTTTTATTAATAGAAATATTTTATGATTATGTATCTAAAATGTTATATAAAACCTTCTCGTTTAACTAATCATCTTTTAAACACACCATATTTCAATATAAACAATTAAACATTCACTCAAACAAAACGATTCATATATTATTATAGTATATGTATATATATTTATATATTTGTTTATCTATAAAATTTAGATAAATAATAAATACATAAAACCAAATCAAGAGGATAAAATGAAATATTATTGAATAAAAATGATTGAGTGTTCAAAATATTAAACTATATGAGTGATCAATAAAAATTAGCAAAAAAGTCATCTTCTCTGTTAGTGTTAAGTTATTTTAACCACTCAACCAAATAATAATAATAAAAAAAAAATAAAAAAAATAAAAAATAAAAAAACTCGTATTGGAAATGTTCTAAGTATTTAAACTATATTTTCATTTTTCATCCCTACAACAGCCACCATTAGCGATTAAAACATGTTTTAGAAAGATAATTCTCCTGAGATCCAGAAAAAAACTTTGATTAGCATGAAACGATATTATGTTTCTTGTAGCAAATGAGAGGTGGTTTAACATAGTATCCTAGTTATAGACCAGTTGTTCCTTTGCATTTTCTTTTATTGTTATTTTGTGGCATATATCCATCGGATATATATTAATTTTAGGGAGAATTTTATATATATTCTTAATAAATAACAAAATATCAATTTTACCTAACCAAATCTTTAAATATAATATATATATATATATATATATATATATATATATATATATATATATATATATATATATATATATATATATATATATATATATATATATATATCTTTCTTAAACTGTCAAAATATCATATTTATTCAAATATATTTTTAGCATTTTTTAATCATATTTTATTATTTAAAATCATTTTAACCCCAAAAAAAATAGATTGACAATAACATCCTTGTTTCAAAATTCATGGAAATTGGAAATCAAAACAACACAAGTCTGGCCATTATCATCGTAGCTTCGCAGTTCAGACTCATGGTCGATTTCCCCATCAGTAACTTCGATTCCACCAAGGCATTGTTGTTGATGTTCTTCCATTTCTGATTCAACACTGATTTCCTCATCTGACTCGGATTTCAACATGTAATTTCATCATCAGCAACTTCGTGCTTTGGAATCGTTTCTATTTCCTCTTCCATTCCAAAACGTAATAGAATTATGTTTTACTGATTTCATCATTAATGATTTTGGAATTTTGTTTTACTGATTTTATCATCAATGCTTTTTGAATCGTGTTTACTATATTTTACTAGGAGTTGTGAAGTCGATGGAGAAACCAAGGTTAATGTTGAAGTTCATCTAGATCGAGAAAAACATTAGTCTTGCACTAGATCAAGTGATTCCAGGATACTAGAGTATTCCATTAAGTCCTTACTATTTTTTGCCAAGTAAAGATGCTTGGGAAGTGCTTAAGGTAATGCTTGAAAGTAAGCCATGTATTTCTCAAAAGCAAGTCATTATTATTCTTAATCAAGGTACTAATATCATTAACTTGTGGCAGCAGGGTGGTAGTTATATATAATAAGTTGTCAATTATTTAGATATGTATAGATTATGATGACTTGTTAATTAGAGGTTGATACTATTCACAAATTGATAGAGATGATTGCCATTGAAGTAGTCTTTCTTTTATTGTTTTATTGGCATCTACTCCAGTTTCATGATCGAATATACTACATTTTTGTTTTTTTTTTTTTTTTTGCTGTTACCTTCTTTGATGAAAAACAATAAATAGAGAAATGTTTTACCTATTCATTTTGGTCACTTATATGTTCGTTTTATCGGTCTCAATCATTAGTATGAGGTTAATATAAAATATTGGTAATGCATTTGTTGTCTTCATAGTAGTCGTACTTCCACATAGCAGTAAATTACATATTTTGTGTCTGATTATAGCTTATTTTGTTATAAACTTATCCATCTATCCATAGTTTTTGTTAGTTAAAGCATTCTCTTTTTCTTAGTAAATTTGGTTTGAAATATTTTTCTTGAAAAGATAATAGTTTTTAACATTATATGCAAGAAAATCATGGGTGATAAAATTGGTTGCGTCAAATTAGAATCTACCAACTGTCGTCATGCATTTACAATTAGGCTTCTTATGTTAATATGTGGAATTAATATTTATGTTTTAGTAAAATTGATTAAAATAATAGTTTGATAAATATGTTATTTTGACAATTTATTAAGGGTATAAGTGATATTATAAACATAGCTTTATAATAAGGGTATAATAGTCAATATACAAAAATAAGAATTTAAAATAATTAAACATGTTTAAAAAAACAAATTTGGGTAAATATGATATTTTGATAACTTATTAAGAATATGTATGACATTTAGATATTTGGTTGAATAAATATGATATTTTACTGTTTATTAAAAGCATATTATCTAAATTAAAATTCAATCTTTGATGAGTAAATTATTATAAGGCTCTTGTGAGTACTCTCCATGAAGGCTTATTGTATTCCTTTTTTTCATGTTGCAAAAAAGATGTAGACCTTCAACGTCTACATAAAAATAATGAAAATAACTCTTGAGGGTAACTAATTGTTGTGTTTATTCTCATTTGGTCTCTTTCTTTTTTTCGTACTCAATATACCATCGAACTTGTCGTTTGTTTTCATCATAACCCTTTTGATCGACTTTTGACATGTGATAGTCGATCAAAGAGTTATGGTGAACACAAACAACAAGTTTGATGGTATGTTGAGTACAAAAACAGGAAATGGACCAAATGAGAACAAATGCAACAATTGGTTACCCTCCTAATTCATTTTCCCTTTACTCATTTATAGAAAATCCCACGTTATCTCCTGTTGATATTAACGACTTTATGAGATTCATTCATGCTTTTCTTCAAAACATAACCCACGAAAGAACATTATTCATACATGTACAACTTTGTAATGCACTTGAATATTTATTAGGGGAATTTTGACTAAACAGGTGCATTTCATGACTAAATTTACATTTCTAATCAAATTATTTACTGTATCATTGATTCTAGACAAGTCTACAAACAAGTGGAATCACAAGTGTTATGATTTTTGAGTTTACTTAGTTTTAAGATCGAATTCATGGGATAAGATACAACATCAATATATACAATATCATGCAGCTTTTGCAGACATATCACCATAATATACGTTAAGGTAAACGTTTATGCTGATAAATATACCTCTCATACACAGTCATATCCTTTTGCAGAGAGGTGTTGACAGCTAACCACATTCAGCATCACATAGACCATGTTTTAACGAAGTTACGCCTCCGAAATGCTCTTCATATACGTTATGACCAAAGAAGGTTACAGTGTTTGATAATTTTGCAACTTCAATTGCATTTAAATTTTTGGGGAAAATTACTCATGAGGGTAAACCACTGTTGAGTTTATTCTCATTTGGTCCCTTTTCTTTTTTTTGTACACAATATATCATTGAACTTGTTGTTTGTGCTCACCATAATCTTTTGGCCGGCTATCACAGGTCAAAAGTCGGTCAAAAGGGTTATGGTGAACACAAACAACAAGTTTGATGGTATATTTAGTACAAAAAAAAAAAAGGAAAGTGATCAAACGAAAACAAACGCAACAGTCATTCTCCCTGAAATTTATTATTTAATCAAAAACCTAGATTCTAAATAAATAAAAATTTAAAAAATGT